TTTTTCACAAAGCGAGCATTTACTGAAAAAACGACCGGACTTCATGCAAAAAACCGGTAATCATGCGCCTGAATGTCCGTGTGGCTCTATAATGCACCACCTTCATCCAACTGATGCCCTTCCTCCTGCATGCCAAAGTACGGCCAATATTAGCCCAAGTGTTAGGCTACAGCGTAGGGATCATTCCTGCTAATAGCGACCTGTGAGTTTAGTGCAAAAAGGCATGATCGCACCGGAGGGCCTGGTGCGTTCCAGCCTAGGTTGCAATTTGCAAATAGGCAAAAACGCATAAAAATTCAGATATCACTGAAATAATTTACACGCTAAGAACAGTTGTATCAGATCCTTTTTTCCTGAGTTACATGCTTTCTGTTAGCATCCGCAGGCTCTGCTATGTATATAAAAGCATATTCACATATGAGCCCTACTAACAGATGGTCGCTGTTGGAAATGTTACCCTCGGTATAGCTCTATGAGCCTTGGTCTTTAACTGAGAAAAAATGCGAAAGTTTTTGATCCCTAACTTTCTAACTAACACAGCCTCCATATACATATGCAACAAATTAAACATTATTAAACTTCCCTAATTTTTGAATACGTTTGTTGTTTCCTACTCCTCTCTGAGATATTAAAGATTTTTTTGGCTGTTGGACTCTTCCCCTTTTTCTCGACTGATATCACATCAAGCCAACCTGTAATCACGCATCCTTTGATCATCACGCTCTTCCATGTATTCCCGCTCTCGTCTACTGCCAGCACTCAGTTCGCGTGAATACCGCGCAGTCTCTCTAACTTCTCGGTAGTCACGCGGTTCTCTGCTCTCCCGGTAACTACGCATGTCTCGTTCCCGAATATCTCGCGGAATATCGGGTTCATAAAATTCTCGCCGATCTCGATCTGGTAAATCTCTCTCATCGACATAATAATCCCTGCGATCTCGATCAACTGCTGCTTCCCGAGACCTGGAAGGAAAATTAGGGCTAAGCAGAAGATTTAACACTAATAACAATACAGATCTCAGCACCATATATCCTTGCGGGGCTCAGAATTTACTGCTCATTTTGTAATTTTCTGCTGGAACTTTCATGTCTACTTCAAACTTAACTGATGTTTTCTGATTTTTCAGAAAATTTCGCACCTGTGATCACGTGAGTAACCGTAATAATGCCGTTCGTTCGGGTACATCTCATAGGGTTCCTCAGGAGCAGCAGCAGCTGCTGCACCGCCTCTGGTTCCATAATCGCTTCTGGACGGTACTGGTGGAGGCCCATAATCTCCAACAAGCACACGCCTGAACGGTGCTCCTACGTAGTCACTTGGCCTGCTGGGTAACGAGTGCTCACGTCGATCCATTGATGCATAATGATTGCTTTCCGTAGGTACCATCCTAAAATGACTTCGATTACGCACCTTATGCCTCAACTTACATTTAAGCTGCTACTGCAGGCTCGTTCAAATATCAGTGCTCTTGGAATGCTGTTCTCGGGAGTCCTGCGTAATGAATTTTCAGTTCACTCCTGATATGATAAAATAAATGACAGCGTTCACCAAGGTAGCAGGTGCGATCATGCGCTTGCAAAGTTCGGTCCGGTAGACGTCTGTTGTTAAGCATTTTCACTGTTTTACACTTTGGCGTATACAAAGGTACTTGATGGCTCTGTGTGTCTGTGTGTTTGCAATTTTTGTCACCCACTTTCAATGCGAGAACCAGAAAAGCTAGAAGGCTCATACTTTGGAAGTATGCGCCCACACTATACGCAAACCTCCCGTTTTAATATCTTCGCCTGCCTACGCCTGAGTGTCACGTACGGACGTCTTAAAGAATATGCAAGTTTTTTGGCGGGAAAGCGATCTCCGGAACGAGGCAAGATAAGGGGCTGGAACTTTGTACATTTGTGAGCTGAAGATTTCAAACTCAGCCTCCAGGTATGCGTGTACTCATGCAAGGGCATATGAAAGCTTGGACGGGAAAATTATTAACTCAGGAAAAAGCTAGAAGGTTGACATTTTGGGGCAATGTTGCCTATCCAAGTGCAACTTAAATATTTCAAATTCAGCCTTTAGGTATGCGTGGCTTTCACGTACGACTACGTGAAAAATCTGACGGGGAAATTGCCGACTCGGTAGCCAGAAAAGCTGGAAGGCTGAAATTTCTGGGGGATGTTCCTTTGCAATATAAAGGTTTCAAATTCAGCTTCACAGGTACGTAGGGTGCCTACGCACGGGCATGTGAAAGTTTTAGCGGGAAAATTACTAACTCAGGAATTAGAAAAGCTAGGAAGCTGGAATTTTAGGGGATGTTACCTGTCCAAGTACAAATGAAATATTTCAATTCAGCCTTCAGATATGTGTGGTTCTCACGTTTAAGCACTTAAAAGTTTTGACGAGAAAATTGCTCACTGAACAGCTAGGTTACTTTCAAATAACGATCGTTAAATGGAAATTGTTTATTTACTTTATGCAAAATTTATGGCGATTTACGCTAGTGTGCGCAAAAGGAAATGTTAGGCAACAACCATTCATGTAGTTAATGACCTGAGTACTTTAGGTCTGGTGCAAAAACGCATGGTCGCACCGACAAGCCTGGTATGTTTCTAGCTGAATTTTCTAACTGTTACTAAACTGTACCTACCAGTGTTTGATACTAACTGAAATTGTATTTGCAACTGGGAGCGAGGTGCCTGTCAAAGCTGCTTCCTGTTTATTGAAGCATTTCACTGACATCACTTTAAATTATTAAAACTTCCAGGTAGTAAATGTAGGTATCCTACATTTAAGGAATACCAACACTGATCGCCCAGGCGGGTCTAGTAATTTTAGTTGTATGCTATGTATCCCTGCTAAAAATTTTACCTATATCGTGGTGGTCGACGATCACCAGCGTGATCGTAACTTCTCGATTTCAACGAGCCCCATCGCATGCGGCGTAGAGATGGCTCCATCGGTGCAGTGGCATCTGAACGTCGTCGCTGAGGTGGCATCAAATCGTCTTTGGCGATTTCGATGACCATATTTGAGGGAACCAGTCCGATGCGATGGCCAATCTGACCGGTATAAAAACCATCCTGGTCAATATCCCCGAATACCTGGAAGAATGATGCAAGTTTGTGTAAGAAGTTTCGGAATTTCCCATATAATCAAACAGCTATGTTGTGAATACAAAATGTCCCAAGCATATACAGTTTCTTGACAGTATGGACTTAACCTTACAGTATGTACTTGACAGTATGAACAAAAAAAATCGCATGAAAATGAATATTTGTTGTTAGAGAATTTTTGTCAGTTCAATCGCATTTGACAGCTTTCGCCTTCCACACTGATTACAGGTGAAGGGATCCTGTTGATCAGCTTCGTTTATTTTGCTCAACTAAAACTTGACGTGAGGTGTGATAAATTGTCACGCTACCAGCTAGTTATGCGGGAAAGATGAATTCTACTAGCTTCTTCGATGACTAGGCATTTATAGTTGAAAATCCAGCTAGTGGAGATGGAATTCCTTTCTGATGTAGAGTAGATTCTCAGAAAGAGATTTTTAACGCTTTCGTGATCTGTACGACTAATTTCACTTTCCTTTGTTAAAAAAA